ATATATATATATATATATATATATATATATATATGTATATATTTACCAGATTTATCTGGCTTTCCTCTTCATCTCCCTTCCAAACTCTGCTGTGGGTAGTTTCCATCTGAAATTGTTCTATGAAAATCCCTATTCCAGACTTTTTAAAAGTCTGATTCCGTAGAGCTATCGAATGTCTTCCAATTCAGCCATTTCTGGTCTCCTGAAGAAACTTCAACCCATCCTACTGGATTGTGGTTTCTCAGATTTAGAACTCTCTCCTTAAAAAACCCACCCGTCCTCAAACAAGAGGCAGCACTACTGCTTTTCTTCTTAAATCCTCATTCTTAAGTGATAACGTCAACAAACACAAATTCCATTGTTGCCCTTGGTGGACACAAAGCAACACAGCTGGTTCAGCTTACCTGGTAGATCTTATACAGAAGCTGTTATTTAACTAAAAGCAATATGGGCACATTGTTTCATCACTGACAATTAATCTAAGTTACCTCAATAGGTTCTTCTTCAGCACTGACCGGTTGGCAAGAAATAATGTATTCAGAGCTATCTGTGTAAGGTGTCCACGAGATAGTTGTCCGAGAAAGTGCTTCCTGGGGCCTTGTGTAATTATCCTTGGATAGAAGGGTGTGATGATAAGAAGGTTTGTCAACATCAGGAACCTGAAAGGGATGATGGATCAACACGACTGGCTGTTCTTCCCTATCGGGAGTTGCTGGAGTTGGGGAGGTTCGAGACGCAAATTCTTCCACAATGACTTGCTGACCTGGGTTGCTCAGGATGGGTTGCTGACCAGAAGAACCTGGAATTGGGATACCGTTTCCATTGTCATAGGGGTTGTTTGTGAGGTAAGGTACATTTTCCAGAACAGAAGGCACATCCAAGATCTCTGTCATCTTTTTACCAGAATGCGGTGGAGTTACCAGCCGGGGAAGCTCATCTAGCCAAAGAAAGGTTAGAAGCCGTGAAAGCCAGGTGCCGAAAGCTCCAACAAGCGTCCCATTTGAGATGGAGGAAATCTGCCCCACGGTATCTTAATTCAAGCAATTAAATTTTAGCAATAGTCTCAAAAAAGCAACATTATTCTTCAAAGCCTCGTTAAATCACTCTCATAGCGCTTGAACCAAAAGAAAGCATTGGAATTTGGAAGTAAAGCCAAATTAGAATGACAACCAAAGAATTTTGAAAGATGCATAAAAAGCAAAAGCCCCATTTGCCAAACTACTGAATTACTGCTATATTTATAAGTAAATGAATTTAACACCTTAATCACCGTTACTGCTACATAGTTTTCCCAAAATAAATTTCTTAAGGGAGAATTATATATTGCATTACACATATTTACATATTTACAAAACCAGTTCTCCTAAAATGTCAACCCTTGGATTCCTATAAATGCTTCAATATTGAATCTACAGTTTCAATTGGAGAGCCAGCAAATTATTCCCAAGAGTTTTATGGATCTACTTCCTACCCTTTGGTTATGAGACCATATGTAAAACAGCCGTTTTCTTTCACCAACGAATAGTTTCATGAAACATGATTAATTTATTTGTTATAAATCATTATTTTTCATAAAATATAAAGTAGCTGATTTAGACCTAATGAAAGTACTAAAAATAAAGAAATAGGAGGAGAGCGTGAGAGATTTTTAATCCACAGGAATCAATAATTCAAACCAAATTATCCCCTTTTTTAATTTACTGAGTCAATGGAAATAAGGAAGATTTAAACTGTAGTTGAAATCTAATTCAATGCTATAATATAACATTCTCTACTTCTCCGGAATTAAATACTCTTGAACAGAGAATTTTCATTCTGAATAAATTAGTATAGTACAATAGATTTTTTTAAAAATAAATAAATAAATAAAAATCATTCTCAGGTTTTTGATATCATAGTAAGAAAGGCTGGTTTTGCAGCCAATCAGGGTTGCAGTAATATATTTTTGAGATTTTAGCAATCAAAAGTCCTTCACCTTGCATAGGGTGTTAGAGAATGTTATCAAACTTCAAATGGACATTTAAAGTGAACTAAATCGATTTATCTGGAATATATCTATCATACCTTCTGCCAAATTCAGCCTAGACAGCACTTCAATCATTTTCACAGAAAATTCAGAAGAAAGGAAGATTAACTAAATCCATGAAACGATAATGAACTAGAATTCTATTATATTTTGCATAAATCAACATCTAAGCAATGAGAGGTTGTAAACAATGTTTATGTAAGTTACAAAAGTATACTCACTTATCTTCAAATATATAAATGACAGTGGCAAATGAAATGGTAAGAGGATTATACAATTAACTGCCTCATTACCAGAAATTCAAAAACAAGTACGGTCTCCAAAGTGAGGCGTGGGAGGAGTCACAACTGGGTATTAACACAGCCATTTTGCCCAGAGACTGAGGTAAATCTTGAGGCCACACCTCTGCTCCTGCTCCTGACTTTCCCAAATTAACCTCAGTCTTCGGCCCAGAAGGAGTGTTTTTCCTGACTCTTCCTTCACTTCGAAGATCTTTTCAGCAGACTAATTCCTCTGTTTGGATCACCTCTCCTCATCCGTGCTTCGCCTGCTGCTAGCCCTAGAGCCTTGCCGCTTCGCTAGTACAAGCCCCGAGCAGCTGGATGTTCTCGGGGGGGGGGGGAGCCCTTACCTAGCCGCGAGCTCCGAGGAGATCCAGGCATCGAGGTATCGCAGAAAGCAGAGGCCCAGCAGATGACATTCTCCCAGTGTTTCCCGAGGATCAGAGCGGAGAACTCGGACCGTAGGCTCGGTGGCCACCATCTTGTATCGTGGCCCAGCCTGATTCCCTGGGATCCCCAAGGGGCTCTAACAGAGGGCGCAGTTCCCTTTGGCCCCCCTTATCACCTACCCACCCCTTGGGGGCATGGGGAGATTCCTTCAGGCCCAGGGCTCCTAGCCCTTTCAGGCGCCAGCTGGCCCCACAATCACCAGGTCCAGGGGATTTTTTGCAACCCCCAGATCTTCATCCCTCCCTCCCAGAGAGCTTTCACGAGGTCCTAGCCAGAACCAAAGCACAGAGGATAGCCACAGGGATGAAGCACCAGTCCCAGGGTTCCAGAAGAAAGACTTCCCGGGGTAAGCCCAGGGGTCTTCATGACCATTCCACGTCATCTGCCCCCAGAGAGACCAGGTCATCCTCTCCCTCCACTGTCAGCGAGGGCTCAGATCTAGAGGAGGGGGAACTGAAGGACATTGGGTTTTCAGAGGACGAGGAGGCCCAAGTCCCTGAGGCGCCCAATATCACCAGTCTTTTCCCTCCCTCCTTATTTAGCTCCTTATTACGTAAGGCCAAGGCCACGGCAGACCTGGACAACAATCCAGAGCCAAGCCCACCCCTGCTGCCACCCCTGGCACGAGTGGGGGGAACAAGAAGGGCCCTTCCACAGGCCCCAGGTGGAGAAGGAGGAGATCCCTACCCCAGACTTGTTCTTAGAGGTGCTTAAGTCCCAGTGCGTTAAACCAGATTCCTTCCCCAACCCAGGGAGCAATGACCGCAATGGTACCTATTCGGCTGGGGAGCGCATCTGGAATCCCAAATAGCCCAGGGCTGCTGGACCCCAATGGACCTGCACAACAACATCAACTGGCTGGAGCTCAGAGCCATCCATCTGTTGTTCAAGGCAACAGTGTCTGACCAACACATTCTGGTCCTGATGTACAACATGGGAGCCAAGGCCCACGTGAACAAGCAGGGGGGCACGCATTCCAAGGTTCTGTGCAACGAGGCCCTACGGCTGGGGAACAGGGTGGAAAGGAACATCCGATCGATCAGAGCAGAGCACATCTCCGGAGTAGAGAACCAGCAGGCGGACTGGCTCAGCAGGGAGACAGTCATCAATGGAGAATGGCAACTCCACCCGGGGAGCCACTCTCCGGCCACCATCAGCAGATGGATCAGATTGGCCATCTCCAAGGCCTACAAAGCACGAGGACTCCAGGTTCCAGAGGGCATCACCACACACTCCACCAGAAGTGCTGCCACCTCAGCAGCCTGGGCCACACAGGCTCCAGTCGAGGAGATCTGCAGAGCTGCCGCCTGGTCCTCTCCCTTGCCCTTCATCAGGCACTACTGGCTGGATGCATACGCCTCCGCGAGGAGGGTTCTTCATGGAGTCCTGGACTCCCAGGAGGCTCAGGCCCAGTGATTCCCTCTAACTTTGGTATGTCCCAGTTGTGACTCCTCCCAAGCCTCACTTCGGAGACTGTCAGTTGGTCTTATCTGAACTGCATGTCTCGAAGGTGGTGTGGGAGTAGTCACTGCCCATCGTTAGGGCGCCCCACGCTAGGTGCCTGAGCTAGTTCAGTTATGGTCAGTCAGGGATCGGGCAGGAAGGATGTGTGTGTGTGTGTGTGTGTTCTCTGTCCCTTCCCAGGTTTCTCTGCAGCGGACCATCAGTTAATCTGGGAAAGTCAGGAGGAGGAGCGGAAGGGTGGCCTCAAGATTTACCTCAGTCTTTGGGCAAAAAGGCTGTGTTAACACCCAGTTGTGACTCCTCCCATGCCACCTTTGAGACATGCAATTCAGGTAAGACCAACTGACATTTGGGCTTTTCTTTTGAGATTGATTTGACCATGCAATTCTACATATGTTTGTTCAAGAAATATTTCTCACTGAATTGCATAGGATTTATTTGAAGACACAGGAATGAAATCTAAGCTAATGTTACCTGTTTTTTTCCTTCCAGTCAGTGGTTCACTCTTCTGATTATTCTTGACAGCAATTATATAAATGATATATTCTGTCCCTGGCTCCAGATCTGATGGAAGAAAAATTTAAAAGGACATTGCAGCCAATTCAGGATTTAGGATATTCAGAAATGCAAAAAGCCTGCTCAGATTTTAATAAAGTATAAGTTTATGAGGATTTTATCTGTTTCTGTGGCTCTATTGCTTTATCTTTTATTACTTTTGTGTAATGTATATTTTTTTAAAACTATTTTTGTTGGTTGTATACAATCTTATAGCATTGTAAGTGCTATCATTACCAATCATTAAAAAAAAACCAATTCTTATCTGCCTTCAATCCCCAGGATATATTGTAGCTTATCATGCAATAAGTACCTATGTGGAGTATTCTATTTCAGATTTAAGACAAAAAAGATTAGTTATAAATGGAAAACATGTTAGGATGGGATCAAAATCTACACTTGCCTTCAAAAATCATTAAGTCATTAGGTAGAGAACATGTCCTAGTTTTGAAAATCAATGCTTTACTTCATACCCTCCTAATGTATTGTTACTACACAATACACCAGTCCCAGTTTGACTTTTAAAAAGTTTCTTCACAATATTTAGAAGCAAAATGATTCCAAGTTCAATCCTCACAATTTTAAAGTGCAGCTGAGAAAATCTTGCCTGTAAACCCAAGGAGCCATTGCTACTCCTTGTATCCAGCAGTTAATAGCAGTTTCAAAGGCTCATTGTGTTTTCCTACGGCTGCAGATTCTAAATGCTGCCAAATTACCTTTCCTCGATATGATGTTCCAGGGCAGAGTCAATGAGCTTCATTATGAAAAGTTCATACCTGTGATAGTGGCCTCAGTAATACCAGGACGAGGACGAGGAATTAGCTCCCGGGTTGGGCCGCCAACTTGCTCATATTTGATCATGTAGCCGGTGATCTTAGCCCGTGGTGGCTGCCAGCTGATCAACAAGGAGTTGCTTGTAGTTGTGAGGAAGCGCAGATTGGAAGGTGCATCAATGGCTAAAGAGCAAAACCATTTCAATGAATATTAGTTATTGCAATTTCCATCTATTTTCAATCACTGTCATGTGTTTTTTTTCCCATTCTCAGAAGGTGATTGGAGACAGAAACCAGTCAGAAAGAATTGCAAAGCACAAAGGGTGAAAGAAGAAAGCTCATAGGAATTTTTACTCAGCATCATTACCAGTGGAAGCATCAAGCTCTGCTGGGGAGCTGCGAGCATTCTCATTCAGTGCATAGATAAAAATCTTGTAGTCAGTACCAGGTTGCAAGCCTGTAAATCAAAATAAAGAGTTAAAAATAAACCAATGGTGTTTTTGTCATGTTCTGATTGGAGGAAGCCTATATGCCAGGGGTGTGAAACTTGCGGCCCGTGGGCCACATGCACGACTCGCTGGCCCTACCCCCACCTCGTTTAGTGAACGGGGGGGGGGAGTCCCAATACATCACGTGATGCCATTGTGAAGTTTGACCCCCCTGCTCTATGCTAACATTCATTAAAAATAGACAGCAAGGAGTTAAAGAAATTCAGTTCACAAGCCCTGGAGTAGAAAAACTGTTGCTTTCTTTTGATTGTGTTATAGATTGACTGTGTAATAGTCTTCAAATCCCTGCAGAATTCTGAAATCATTCTGCAAACAATGAAGAAACAATAACGGAGGGCCCTGTGGAAACTGAAGGAATCAGAAATTAAACTAGATCATAATGATCACCTGGGGCCCAGGGCAGAAGGTATGATGGCAAGAAAGAAATGAACAGGCACGGAAGTTCTAAAACCTGAATTTCCACAATCACAAAAGACAAGAGACCCCAAAGGGGAGCCAAACTGTTTTGGATCTTTGCGCAGAAAAGAAGATTCCACCAATGATTCCTTTTATCCTACCTACTGCATGGTGATGTGATGGGGGAAATGATTTATTCAGTGCCCATAGGAAATGCGATTCTTAATATTTACAACTCAGAAGGGCAGGGAGCTCTGAAGAAATGATCCCAGGGAATGAATTAAAAATGCTGAAAGCATACGAAACATGGTCCTTCCACTATAGCAAAATTCGTGTTTTCTGAATTCTCCTTGGAGCTGCCCAGCAGCTTATAATGTTCTAAATTTGGTAATAAAAATGGACAAAATACCCTAGTTAACGTTTAAGTGCTAGAAAGTTGTCAAGAGTTTGGTTTGTTTTATTCTGCATGATATTCTTTAGCAATACGTTTCTCTTCCTTCCTGCTAAGTTATTATCATAGAACGTTTCAGGGTAGAGAAATGAAGCTCACGTACCAGTGACGGTGTAGGTTCTCACATCAGGACTAATCGTTCTTTGAATTGGATTCTGACCCCCTGCAGGAACGGCCTCTATCTGGAAACCCGTGATGGCCTCTGTCTTGGTGCGCCAGGTAATTGTGATGGTTCGCTCTGTGACATCTGTGACACGAGCCCTACGGGGAGCACTAACATCTGCACCAAAAAGGTGGAACGTTCATCATTAATATAAAGGTCACAATGAGCTCAGAAGTTTCACAGAAAAAAACAAACATTAAAATAAATTGCAGTCCACAGCCCAGAGATTGATTGATTTTATATAATTGCCAATCTGAATTAATAGATCCAATACTCAATAGATAGAATCTATGTTCTATGTTCAATATAATCAATTCTGGGTGACAAACAGCATCATAATAATTAAATCCATAAAAACATTAAATCAGTTACAAATTATATGTAAGGGCAACTAAAAATTATCATATTACATACAAAATTAGTAATGGAGTCCCTAACATTTTCTGGACCCCAGGCACATAAGCAGGTCTTGAAAGCTTACGAAAGGCCAATAGGGTTGGGGCCACCCTGGGCAGTGAACGGAGAAAGTTCCAAAGGGCAGGGACTATGGGCAGGAAGGCCCCGGTCTCCCCCTGGTCTCCCCCAACTAACATCATCCCCAATCTATTAGACCAAATTGGATGACTAGAAACGATTGGGAGAAGACGATCCATTGAGAACTGGATCCCAAGCCATGTAGAGCTTTAAAGGTGACAATCAGCATCTGGAAACACAACGGAATAGCTCCCAAAGTAGTACTGTTACATGTATTGTGTAACAGGCACTATTAACTAATTGTGCAGCCGAATTTTGTATCAACCTTAAATGCTTTTCAATGGCAGCCCCATGCAGAGCTCATCACAACAATCCAAATGAGAGGTAACAATGGAATGAGTGACTGAACAAAGTCACCCAGATCAGGAATGGGGCACAACTGACACACAATCTGAAGATGCGTGAAGGCCCTATTAAAGCTGCCATTTGCTTTTCAAGCAGAAGCACAAGTCTGAGAGGACCCCCAGGTTGCGTGCAAAGCCTGTCTCAGTCAGTGCTACTTCATCCAATTCCAAAGACAGAAGAACCTTGTTCCCAAGAGAACTAAATAATCAAAGCCAGTCTGTCTCGCTTGGGTTGAGTCAGAGCCCACTGCCCCTCATCCAGGCCCCTACGGCCCCCAGGTAGAGTAGGATATGCACAGCATCACTCAACATGTCTGGGGTAGAGATCTATAGCTGGTATGTCATCTGCATATTGATTATACCTCCCCCCAAATGATCAGATCATCTGAGCCAGTAGCTTCATGCAGATGTTAAGCAGGAGAAGAGAGAACCCACCCCACATCACAGGAGTTGTGAGCTGGCTCTCCCACCATCTCCTATTCACAGTGACTGAAACTGACCAAGAAGGAAAGAGGAAACCAGGATGGCCATTTAGGAACATTAAGAGCATTTTTTAGCCTTATTGGTTCAGCAAAAGTCTAGCTCCTTGTCCACTGTCTCATAGTGCATAGCAGAATTACTACATAGAAGCCTATAGAAGAATATGAGAACAATAGTCGTAGCACACCAAGATCCCTACGTGACTCTATTTCTGTGTCTTTGAATCCCAAGGTAGTGCACAGCCTACCTCCTTAGCCACTGATAAACACAGCGTCCCCTTTTAACATCTTCAATGCTGATCACATCACATCTTGTGCTAATGTAGTTATGCGCTGTGTGAAGTGGCACTTCCTTTATCTGTCTTGAATTTTAACTTTACTGAATGACATGCAATTTTGTAATGTCAAAGATGAAAAATGACTACGTATCTTGATACTGCTTCTTTCTTTGTACTCCTGGCCTAAAGAGCCACACAGTGTTTTGCCTTTCAGCTCAGTGATTTATGGCAATTTTAATTATGTGGGACCACTTACTTTCCAGAGTATTAACTACACCTTGGGTAGGTCTGCTGGTCAAAGAGTCCTTCAGAGCATAGATATTAACTTCATATTTAGTTGCCACCTAGACATTAAAAAATCATAGGAAGTTAGGAAATGTGCATCCTTCAAAGAATCTGTTACACATGCCATTTTAGTAAATAACAAAATGACTAATACCTAACATGACTGTGTATCTGCTGTATTCATGTCTAAAGTGGGATGAGGAATTTTTTTTTCAACCAAATGGTTCTCTTCTTCTGCTTCATCACCCAAACATTCATACCCAAGCCTAACATGGATATGGTTTCTACTAATAGATTAGGAGGGGAGACAACACCTCCTCTCCCACTGCCCTCTCTTGGTCTTTCAATGTTGCTTCAAAGATTTTAAAATCAAGGGAGAGGCCTGAAATGGAGAACAGGAAAAGGAAATCCTATTTCACCATACTGGTACCTATCCATATTTCTCCTTCGGTATCTTAGATGCTCTACAAAGAAAAAAAACCCTAAGGCTTGGGTAATTACCCTATACAACTTGCTACATATGTGAAAGTCTCTATACTACCCTTAAAAGATGCATAATCTTTTCCTTAAAAGATTAACGCTAATTATGAAGTGAAGCAAAGGTGAAAAATGTTTGTGTTTAATTTATGTCTTCTAAACATTACCTTCAAGTCTAATTGATTTTATAAATGCTAAATATAAGTTATATTTTTCTCTCACTATATTTTAAATTGCTGCAAAACAAGCACATCAAACCAACAGTAATAAAAAGAAGTATCACCATTAGTCCAGAGATAACAGCAGATGTGCTATCTGGAGCAAGGTTAATTTCTTTCATTGGGCCAGTCTTTTCCTTGGGATTTATTCTCACTCGATATCCAGTAAGCTTCACGTTTGGTGCAGTCCAGGTTAGTGTGAGACTTGTTGGAGCAACCTGAATAAATTTCAGATTCGTAGGAGGTGGGATTGCTGTTAAATTCAGAATGACAAATTGAGATGACATGGAAAGAACTCAATAATAAAAAAAGCCATCTAAATCTTTTAACTACTATCAATTCAGGTTTTTTTTTCCTTTTATGTTACAGTTACAACAGTTTTTTTCAAAGTTTTCATACATTGTAAATGAAAGCTAGAAAACTAGCCTAAACCATCTTTCCTGTTGAATATGGGGCAGTAAATTTCAAAAATACACTTATCTCTTTTGAGATCAAAAAGCATTGTCCCAGAATGCAAAATAACAAGTGAGCCATTATACCATAACTCAATCTGGACAAGGAGGTACACAGGTTCCAAAAATGACAAGATAAATCGGCATAGTAGAGGCAGAAGACTAAAGGTGAAGGTCAAAGCAGCCCACCCATTTTCTTTTGAAACTGGCCACAGTCACCGTATCATCAATGTTATGATTAGATAAAATTCACAGTGATAGGCATTTTGGGAGAGCACGGCAAAAATGTTTTCAAAATTCCAAATACGTCCACTATTTCAAAACAATTGCACAGTTCTGCTTTATAACATCTGGTTTTTAAAAAGGGAATATAAAGAATCCCGTCTCAATTATTGTGATCAGGATTTGAGCCAGAGGAAACTCCTACTTAAAAAATTAAAACAAAATGTTCATACAAATGTCATCAATCCAGATCTAACCCTTGTTGCGCCACCTATGGCCCCTCAAATCTATACTATAGCTGAAATATATATACACACATATATTACATATAGATATATCATATCTGAGTTATTACAGCAGCTGCAGAAAGAGGGAAGCTGTGCAACTGAAAGAAGGAACAGCATCTATCTTTGGATTCAAAAAATAATAATCTGACACGGAAACATTATTCTTTTGTTTGCGCATGGATGTGGAATTTTATGTGTGATTCCGTGTCTCCAATACTGCACAGAATGTTTTGGTTCCATTAATCCTTACCCATTGATGTTGCTCTGATCCCATACCTCAGCAACGCCCAACCCAAGCACTTCATAGGTAATTAGCTGCAACTGGATTCCTTCACAAGAAGGAACAGGTATCATGGTGACCAGGTGACTTTATTTCATGGGTACCTGTGGTCTGGGTGCCAATCAAAGGCAGGCTTTCCAAGTCATTGTGCAAGGCAACAATGTAAACAGTGTACTCAGAACCCGGCCTGAGGCCATGCAGCTCCGCGGTCTCGTCTTCGCCCTCTGGAGCAGGGAATAGTTCCTGGATTCCATCCTCAGGGGTCGAATAGGTCACCCTGTAGCCGGTGACTTGCCCCTGTGGGCTTTCCCACGCAATTTTGATGGAATCGACATCCACTGCAGTGAATGCCAGTCCTTTAGGAGGGTCAACGTCTGTTAGGCAAATTAATGGTGAAAGGTTAAGCAGAGGAGGAGGCAAAGCAGATGTGGGGTTGCACAGAGCGCCCTTGTTATAAGCATGCAAAGCCTTCTTGCTCTTGGAGATCAAGAAATAGGATTCGTTTGTATTTCCTGCCTGACTCTTGTAACAGCTAATCACAGCTGATTAATTACAGGGTGATCTTACGATTGCCTTGAACAGAAGTTTCCTTTTGTTCAGTGGCCTTACTTCCAGTTAAGTGAGAATAAGACTGCAACCCATTGCTACTGCTCATGTATCTATCTATTTGTGGGATGACAGCTTCAGCATGAGTAGCAATACTAGACAGGTTATTTTATTTGATTTTGTGTAAAACAAAGGGAAATTTTGGTTAAAAAAACTATTTTAAATCCTGGATTTAAATTTCTTCATATTTTCTAATGCAAAGGCCTCTTTTATTACTTATTTGCTGCTCACAAGTTCCTGAGAGGAATAAAAAAGTTAGACATATGACCTATATATGTATACCCAAAATAGTATTTTGTTTTGTAAGATGCCCAGAGTCTACTGGAGTGGGTAGCTATATTACATTTTACAAATAAAAAATAAATAAAAAATGTTGCATTGTAAATAAATAGTAAAGAACAGATCTTCTTCAGTCAGATTATCTTTTCCAAATTATTAACCAATTAATGATTTCTAACACTTATAAATGTAGTTTAAATCTTAGTGTAAGCAGTTTCTGTGTAAAAATGTAGTAAAACAGCTTTTTCATAACATAACTATGAGAATAGTATAATTTTTGCCATTTTCTCAAAATTTTGATAGTAAACATATCCCAAGAGATTTAGGTATTTGTAGCTATTGTTCTCCTACTATGAAATGTGGGAAATTTGAATTTACATACTTGTAACAACTTTCTCAACCAAAGGCTGGCTTTCTCCATTTGGCCCTTGGGCATAGACGCTAACCACATACTCAGCTGTAGGTTGCAGTTCATCAATTGTGACTTCTGTTTGTTCTGCAATAAATAAAAATATATTTATATATGGTCTGAGTATTCAGTTGCCCTTCAGGAAGAAAAACAACTTGTTCTGAAAAAACCTAGGATAGGATAGAAACTATTTCAGAGCAAAACAAACAATTTAAACAGATTTCCGAGTCACAAATATTTTGACAATGTAAATGTAGAAATACTTTTCTCTAGAAATAGTATCCATTGTTTCAGTGTTTTTAAAAATAGATCGTCATCAGAAGTTTTAATCACATGTAAATTACATGATTAATAAGACTTACATTTTGGGCAAGCATTCTTTTAGCAAGCATTGCAACAACTATTCCTGTTTTAGAATATCTCAAAATCTGCCCAATGTAGGGAAGTTTTATAATGTATGACTTCAGTCCTTATGACCCTTAGATAGATGATAGCAGCTGCTGGTATTACAAGTTTCAAATATAGTAAGATGTGAAGTTCCCAGAAGATGACCTAATTAATTTACGAGCCTTGAGGCAAAGTTCAAAAGAAATCCATTCATTTATTAGGATCAACATTTTGGCATGTTCTTCCGCTTAATTGCATTTGAACTTTACCCCTGTGTCCCCTTCCCTATGTCTGGGTCATAAATCACATTCACCAACAAGGTTGTAGAAATATGAGATCCCACTCTGGCCCAAGGTATGCATGGAATGCTCCCTCCAATGCCAATCTGATAATAGTCATGGCAACACTTTACAAGTTGATATTTCCTTTTTTCCCCCTTTAAAGAATGGGTTCCCATGCCTAACATAAATTGCTTTTTTATTAAAAGTTTTTTAGTTTTCAAAACAGACACAAAAAATCCCCTTTCTTTACATACTGTAGAAAGTGTATCAGTTGGTTACAAAAATTTTCGTGCATTTCTTTCACAGTCACCCATGATTCATATTAATTCTAGTATTTTAAATCAAATATACTTGTACATATT